TTGCTCTTTACTCAAAGGAAGCTTACAAAGGTCACCGACTTTACGTTCGATACTAAAACCAGTACGAGTGTAGCGGATCGCAATCCGCTACCTCCGGGAGTACCCAAACCTTAACCCGAGCAAATGTACTCTTCCGTTCAAAATTGAAACTGTATTTAATTGTTTTATTTGCGGCAAAGCCACCTCTATCTTAAACCTTAGGATTTCCTATTTAGATCGAAAAACGTAATTAATATGTATGACTACTGGTAGTCACGCCCTGTAGTGGCTACTTGTTATGGTGTAGTTTCACCATTGTGTGATTACACCGACTTGCGTAATTCAGCCCTTTGTACGGTCACACCATCTTGTTTGGCCCACCATTTCATACCAGGGTAGGCTTAACTCCTAGCAGAGGTGGGTTCATGACTCACCAAAACTCCGCCATGGAACGTGCGCGAAGAGCCAAGGTCTTCGACCTCCAATCGATCCATGGCTTATGGTGTTCAAACATATCAGACCAGGAATAACGTCATACCTTGAATTTGAGTCGCAGACTAAGCAGCGTTTCACGCTACCGAAGTAAAAAAATTTGACACCGAGGTCCACAGGGACCCTCGGCACAGTGATGCAAGTCCCCGTCGCTCAGCAAACGTGACAGTGTCACTCAACCGCGCTTTCAGTGCCTCAGCATACCACTGAATTTCTTTGATCGTGGAGCGTCGAGCATAATTGCCCCTAATTGCGTAAAAGCGACCGGAATTCCTTCATGGTGGCTTTAACGACCAGCAAGCCCGGCTTGTACACAAGATCCGTGTTCAAGATCACGGAGCTCTTCGGCCCAAGTCCTGCTGTCCTTTACCTCTTTTAAACTCAACTGAAGTCAGTTCCTTCCCAGTAGGGGTGCCTTGCGCCTACTGGGTTTTGTCATCTCCCCGCAATGAACCAGACTAGTGAGAAGCAGGACATCGGTTAGATATACCTTGACGCGCCTTGCGCAGGAGGCAACCAGTCAGAGGTGACAAGTGTCTCCACAAAGTAAACAACGTCGAGTTTTCAAACGTCGCCCGGCATCTCGGAGCTCTTCTCTTCCTTCTCAGCATAGCTGCGATCCATTGGCTCAGGCTCGCTCGACGAGCTCTGAGGTTATGCATTCCAACCATGTCGTGCCGACTTAAAGTTTGATTCGGCATACACTGTCACATTCACCGCTTCTTCGAAAGGAGACGGATACACACGGAAGATTTCCATTCTGGCCACGCCAGTGCGAAGGCCCTCCATAAAGACGGTCACTGTGACCGCCTCGAAGATAGGATCGGCTGCCATCCCGGCAATGAGAGTTCGCAACTCTTGGAAAAATACCACCAATTTCGTTTGCCCTATCGGGCGTCGCACGCGATCTGCCTGAATACGCAGCAAAACACTCGCATAAGCTGACGCTTCAGCTATTTACAAGAGGAGAACACTGCTTTAACCAAACAGCGCACGTCAGCGCCGATTCTCGCGCTCGCACCGAGCTTGGAGATAGATAGCGCTACGCGCTGTTGTTCGTTCTGAAGCATAGCAGATGCCATAGCCATCTCGGCTTCTCTTGCCTAGAACATGAAAATTTCTCTATCCGTACTCTCGAAGGTCTTAACACGCTCCATGAGCGGCCTGGGTCGGAAGGAGTCATCCGTCGTCGACGTTTGCGTCATAGACGCAGTCGACGCCGACAGCTTCAGGTGTAGGTGCTCTTACAGAGCATTTTCAAAAAAGCCTCTAAGTGTAGCTGATCGCCTCAGGTCCTTGTGAAGCAAGGTGTTGCACGCCTTCAAGGGCATGCAGAAATATTAGCTTATTGAGCTTGTCCTGCATACCCTGGGACTAATATGAGAATTGCTCCATCCTCATAGCGGGTCAGTCGTAACGTCTCAGGCGTAGATTGACAACCAAGTGCAGCGGGGCTGCCATAGCTCTTTGCAAAGGGGAACCTTACAAAGGTTGCCGACCTACTTTAACTAGTACAAGTGTAGCGAAAGTCAGGGCTACCACCGTTCACAAGCCTCACTCAAGCGCCATTGAGATCCTTCGCAGGCCTTGTGGTTTTAAGTTAGCCTAAAAAAACAACCGCGCGAAGCACTCTACGCTGGTGACACGCTTGGATATCAAGCGTGATTGTTTGTGGGCGGTTATCCAAAAGAGCACCGAGTCGCTCGGATCCTAAATATCTTACTCCTCACTATCCGATAGAGGTGAATATTAACGATTGGTGGAACGTCTCAAGGTGATGAAGCATATTAAGCAACCGTTCAGAGGGTTGGTAAAGTAGATCTATCAACAAAATAGCATCTTTATTACAAAGCACACTTGTGTATCGATGAGTGTTTATTGCAAAAAACTGATCCTTTTGTCGTTTAGATTTCTAGCATTAATATTTAACAACAGACTGAAATTTTCTGAAATATAAGCCTCATGTAGCACTACAAAACTCCTCTTCCAGATCTACTGGACATTAATGAGGCGTAGAATGCCCGGGATCCGTCCCAACGATTCTGTCGATATAGGCCATATACGTCGATCACTGGTAATAACACAACGAAAGTTTGATTGTATTTGCTCACGAGAAAAATCGAGAAAAATCCAGCGCTTGAAGAGCTGAATCCACTTAGCTGCGGTCAATCTTGAGTCGACAGAAGCCTGAGCATGAATGTCTCGAGCTTTATTGATTTCGTCCTCAATGATAGCATTTGAATTGTCCAGCGCCTTGTTTTCGGGCGCTTCATTGAGGTCTATTCGAATGCGATCGAGTTTTTCATGAATGCTCAAAACTTCCTGCAGTTTTTCCGCATCTAAGTCTACATTTCGAAGTATTAGCCGCACGTGGTCCCGAGTGTAGGAGTACTTGATCCACTTCTTCAGAAGCTACTTCCAGTCGAGTTCGATTGAATTTGGGTCTACTGAGCCAACGGGGAAAAGTGACCCCCCAATTTTTGCTCTGCTTACAATAATATTGGCAGCACGGTAGTCTAGTAAGGCACGAAATTCGGTGGGAAGAGATGGGATATCCAAGTATAGCGTGAAAACAGTCAGAATCTCCTCTATCGTCATTTCATGCATGATCTTGTCGTATTGAGTTGCACATCCAGGTCTCCGTACCCAGCTGTACGCAATATCGCTTCCACTTCATCGCGTGTAAACCCATATCGAATCAAACCCTCAAGATGAAAATCGACCGACTCCTTCTTGAAATTTGTAAGCTTTTGAGCGATATAGAGGGCTGAGCGAACATAGGGGCTCGACGTATCAATATTGGTTGGGAGCGGGCTGTTAGGTTGATTCCTCTGTACCACCGAAACTGTATTATCTTTGAATTTCTTCAGAAGATCTTGAATCTGGTTCATGTTTAATTCTGGTTCCATTTGTTTCAAAAGATTAGAATAGTCAGCGATACTCGAGTACTGCGAGGGTGGCACTAGAGTAGTAGTTTTACAAATTTCGGGGAAACGTGACAACACGGCATCCCTTTCAATTGGTATGGAGGATAAGCTGACGTGAAGAAGTGAGTTAGACGGCACCCTTTCTTCGTCCCCAATCACTTTTGTTTGTACCTGTGAATCTTGCACCCATAGTCGACGATCAATTGCATCCCGTATTTTGTTTTGTAAAGTTTGAGTCGAATTGGATAGCGCTGTCAAGACGTCGACAAGTAGAACCATAGCAGCAAGAAGATGCAGCATGAAGAAGGCATCTGGTACACGCATAATGATATGGCACTTAGAAATGAGTTGTAAGGATGACCGGGCAGATCAAAAAGTGAATGGTTCTCGCGTGAGACTTAATTGCAACAATTTTTGACCGGCGTCGTTTGCACATCCATGTAGAAAAGGCAGTGTGTTCGAAAAGCGCAGGCAACAACTGCGAGGGAATTTATCAAAATACTAGACCTCAAAGTTTCTCTTTTCGATATTGGATAGTGCATGAATATGAACTTTAGAAGATTTTCTTGTTACCAAGATTTGTTTTTCGCATTTCGAACAAGCCAGGATAAATTTGGACTGCATATGTGTGTGCATTTCCGGCGTATCCTTTTCAGCTTAACCAGAAAAACAATGTGACTCCTTTTTCTTGGAAATGGCGAGAATACGGCGATTGTATTTTTAACGTGTGTAATACCAATTTTGTAGCCGAAGTCGTGGCTGAAATATTCGCCACTCGCTATAACAATATCATGTATATGTCACGAAATCTGTAATGTATGGGATGCAAAGGCTAACATTACCCAATTTTTTTCTTACGTCGGTATACTACATTCAGCAGCGGTAGGCCAAGTACTTAGCACATCCGCTGTGAAGATGCCCGGTGAGTATGCGCAGTATGATGGAGATCAGTGCGGCCAAAGAGGTCGCAATACGCGAACACGAATGGATATCAAAACAAAATACCCCTGTTTGTGGTAACAAGGTTTATTGTAGTGATTTTGTCAAATCCTTCGAATTAGAACGCAGGTTAGAGCTTCATACAGAGAATGCTTCGTCTTCAAATGTATAGTATTGGTAGTATAAAATCTGCTATCCCGATATACAATGCAGACGATACATGCCGCTAGCTGACTTTATGTGTCAGGAGACGCGGCTGACAAACCTACCTTGGTCTACACTTTCTGCAAATGGATTAGAATCATCATTTATTTGTTGTTTGTTAGGTCTGCTGACTGGACCGGGAAAGCTCACAGAGCCAGATCAAGTGTTCGATAAATTGGACCGCTCAGAATTTCCTTTTTTTGCGATGTTCAGGTTCATAGCATCATGTCAAGCTGAAATTTGTGCCCATTTAAAGTTTTTGCAAGAATCGGAATTCGGAAGTCGTACCAATGCTTAATTTTGATTACTGCACCCACGCCTTAATTGGCCTGAGGGTTCACCAAATTAAAAGTATAATCAGCTTCTTTCTCATCCCGCTCGATTGATTTAGATCACTAGGCTCTCACCGCCCATGTTGGGCAACAAGTTCATCAAATCAGTGGCTCACTCTCTTTCAGCTCGCTGCTCTTCCTGGTTCGATTGATCTTGCTTCTAATAGCTTAGAACCTTCGCGCGTACATGATTCTTTATGAGCCATGTTTAAAGAAATAGCTTGCTATCATCTAGTCTATTCAAAGAGCGTTATAAGAAGAGTGTCTTCTGTCATGCTCATCTTAATTTTATTGATATTTCCAGCTGCTGTGTTACATTATCAACTAACAATGAACACCGTGATGAGCTTTCGTCACGGTTAGGACGACAAAATGTCACTGTTTGGTCGGAGGTACCAGTGTCACACTATGAGCCGATCACTAACGGAAATAGCGCGCTCGATGCTTCACGCGATGCGCGTTGAGCCTCAGTGGCGGGAAGAAATAATGATGACAGCTGTACATATCGTCAGCAGGATCATAACTCCACGCGGCCTTTCATGAGTCCACTTGGAGCGTTGACAGGAGTAAAGCCTACACTAAAATTTCATTTTCGAATTGCGCGGATTCGTACATGTCGACAAAGCCAAGAGGTCCAAACCGGATGCAAAGACCCATCGATTTTGTTTTTTGGGTACGCTGAAGAGTCAAAAACCTTTCGAGTTTGAGACTACGATGCTAAGCGACTTGCCACGACCCGTACCAGTCAACTGGACAAGCAAGTGCCATCCGCGTACGTGAATAGCGAACTTTACCAGAATTATTATCACTCAAGTAAACTGAATGAAAAGAGGATAATGAAGGTACGCATCGCAGAATGTTTCGATTCAAGACGACTGTGTAGATGGAAGACATCACTGCCGATGACGAGGTAAATGACATGGAGATGAACCCACTGAGACCGGAACGTACACTTATTCCGACGCGAACAGCAATCTTGAGGCTGGAACGGGGGCGTCAAGACACTACTAAACGTCTTCGAGGTGTACTCCTGCCCAGAGATGCGATAACCGACGCAGAACGCTTACTTGCTCTTCCAACTGCACCTAAGACAACTCCATCGCAACACGTTATGCGTGTGACTTCTCCATCTGATAGAGATTTCACAAGAATCTAACCTGTATCAAACCCGCCAGGTGCAATTGTAGCGACGCAGCAACTGTCTGATACTGATCGTCTCGTATTTAGTGGTGGTTCTCGTTGTAAGAAGCGGCTCTCTTACGCCTATCCACAAATGCTACCCAGTTCAGATAATGCGAGAGGTTCTAATACTCACCAATGGCTCAGAAGGTGTTCCAGGTCGCGTTTCTGACAATGGTCGCGATGATAGCGAACCCGAAAGTAAGCGACCACGTTTGGGCCGCTACAAAATTACACTATCCGCAATGGAAGTATCAGGAGGCAATGGCCTCACCAACAGCGAAAAGCCGGAAGGGAGCAATTCGCCGAGAAATCCGATCACACGTCCGAAATCATACATGGAATCGACTGATGCGACAGCGAGGAACCAAAATATTGGCCGCATTGCTCTCAACTACGATGATAATGGCAATGTGACGCGTTACAAGGCATAAATAGTTGCACTTGGATACCTGCAGAATCAAGGTGTTGAAAACTCTCACACATACTCACCTGTATCGAATATGAACACTATACCTGAATTTCTTGCGATGTGCTGCCAACGTCAACTTTCGATTCGCCAATTTGACATTGACATTCCTTTCCTCAATGGCAATGTTGAAAAAGTTTTGTATATGGAGCCGTCAGAAGAAGTTCAAGCTCCCGCTGGTATGGTCTGCCAACTCCGAGGGAGCCCCTATGGGCTCAAATAAGCTGAGGCAGTATGATCTAAAACCATTCGCATAGTTTCACGAAGCAAGGATTCTCATAGTGTCCAGCAGATTCGTGTTTGCTTGTCCACCATGATCGTGATGATGACGACTAGCATCTCCGGTATTTGTTGTTCTCAATGTGGATGACTTGCTTGTCGGTGCAAAGATGGAAAAGCAAGTACAAGCAGCGCACAATGCGCTTGCCTCAATTTTCACGCTGAAATTGCTTGTAGATGTTAAGTTCGTGTTGGGGATGGAAATTAAGTACAACCGAGCTGATGGAGAGCTTGTGATCAAGCAGACACAGTCCACTTTCCGACCACTGGAACAATTTGGACAAGAAGATGCGAACAGTTTCCAAAATTCTATGATCCTTCGTAAATTTTTGTCCCTCAAACCCACTTCTACTCTAAGACCAAGTATCGTGAACTGATCGGATTAATGTTGCATATCGCGAACGCCACATGCCTCGACATTAGTACTGCGCTGTCGGTACTCTCCCAGTATCTAATTGATCCTGTAAATTTCATTGGTGTGCTGCAATTAGGGTCCTGCGCTACTTTAAAGGAACTTCTGCATTTGAAATCCGATTCGAGAAGAGCAGTGAGTTGCCGAGAGGATTGAAGACTTTTAGCAATACTAATTGGAGAGGAGATCAAGCTACATGTCGTTCGGCTTCTGGTGTTGATGTGTGGATTTCCAGCTGTGAATCAGAAGAAGAGGTTAACCGTTGCGATGACAACCCAAGAAATTGTAGGGCTACGTTTTCATCTTAGCGAAATGGGTGTTAAGATCGACTGAGCTACTGCAATTAAAGTGGGCAACGTGTCAGCGATCAGTATCGCAGTGAATAATGGTTAAACTCCTAAAGCAAGCACATTTCGTGCGTGATCATGTTGAAAGGGGAACCATCAAGCTTCAGTAACTTCCAACCGAAGATCAGCTTACAGGCTTTCTTACGAAAGCAATGTCAAGTGGACTGCAAGTTGAGGGGAGTGTTGGGCTGTGCGGCATCACGTCACAGAATTTGTGTCGTATGTTAGTGCAACTTCCATGTTACAGTGAATGATGGTTGCAGAAAGTTTGCAAACGGGTTAACAAAGTCAGGGCTTAAGAACAGGCTTTTAGAACAGGCCACATGAACTTGTTAGTTAGAAGAATTTTAACTCAAGAGACCACTTTTCATTCTGCTCTGCAAAGCACAAGTTCTTCAAAAAAGCTTTGATCTACCACTTCAAGGAAGAAAATGGTGGAATTAGCCCAATGCTTCCTAGCTAGGATACCAGCAGGCCCATGCCCAGAATCGATAACGGCTGGGATATCGAGCAAGTCGGTCAAATCGTCAAGGGTACTTAAATACTACCGAAAGAAGTGCAGACAATACTGGGCATATATGACAAGCTCATATCAGAGCTACATGCTCCGCTTTTTGCAAACAACGTGCTTCATTGGCCAAACGCCGTCGATACGTAGTAATACGAAATCCCTGACCAAGTTGCTGGTCAGGCTTTTACTACTCTAGATGAGTAGTATTTTATATATCCTCGCAGCTGAATGGACGAAGCCTTTAACCTCAAGCTTGCTCGTGACTAGGTAGTCTTGACTCTTCGTTTTGTTCTTTGAGACGATATAGAAATCTCATGTGTTATGACATATCTTGACAAAACTTGTCTTAAGCACTTATTGTCGACCAGAATATCATAACTTTGGATTTCTGAATTCTAATATTGCTGCTCACAATGCAAATTATAATTGTGTCAGTAGTAAAATACTGATAGATACTTATGCAGAAAGCAATTCTGGCGGGCCAAGACCCATAGGCGGTCACCGTTCGCCTTAGGGCGTTCATTAGCTACAAAAATGCGCTTGTAATACATCTCCAAAAAGTCTCAATCAACGTTGGTGAAAGCATCACATACTTTAACAGAGTTTGATAAAAGGACACCGCTTCGGATGGTCACTCATCCATTCTTCGACAATATGAAAAACGTCTCTTAGAGATAAGACCTTAAGGTGCCATCGACTCAATTCTACTCCAAATTGAGCGACAGCACAGCTTGCAAGCTATCGCAGAGTAATATGATCGTTTGCGAGAATGGGTACCAAACGTGTGGTCCGTAAATAAACGAAGTTTTCCAAATCAAACCCTCAAACTCCTTTGATGTACCAGTAAAAGAAATAAAATTGGTGAAACTGGCTCAATACTCTCTAGCCAGGATACCAGATGGCTCATAAGAAACCATGTACGCACGAAGGCTCTAAGCTACTAGAGGCAAGATCAACTGAACCAGGAAGAGCAGCAAATTGAAAGAGCGTGGGCTACGAATTCGATGATCTTATTGCCCAACATAAGCAGGAAGAGCGTAGTGACCTGTATCAAATCGAGCAGGATGAGAAAGAAGCTGATCCTATCGAAACCATAGTCTAATTTATGCTTAAGTGCAGTAATCCACTCGCATTTGCTTCAGAAATAAGCATTAAGTAAGACTTACGGATTCTGATTTTTGCTAAAACGTTTTATTGACACAAGTACAGCTTGACATGATGTTGTGAACCGCTCAGGATAACATCGCGAACAAAATAAAGTTTTTGACGGTCAGATTTATCAAACACTTGATCTGGCTATGTGAGCTTTCTCGGGTTGGTGAAAGACCTGTGCAAGTGCCGTAAGAAATTCTCCCCGGTTAACTTGACAATTTAAATTTATCGTCAAGAAACTTGACAATGTCAAATAACAAATAAACGGTGGCTTTACCCCATTTGCTGAAAGTGTATTTCAAACAGGCGCGTCTCCTGACACATAAAGTCAGGTATCTGGTACAGTAGATTTTATACTATAGATACTATACATCTCAAGAAGGAACATATGAAGCTATAAACTGGTCTGGTTCGAATTTTTTTTTGACAGAATCACTACAATAGACATTGTTACTGCAAACAGGTTATTGCGACCATTTTGGCCGCATTGATCGCTTTCATACTGCGCATACTCACCGGGACAGCTTTCATCGCCGCAGCGAATGCGCCGAGTGCTTGACCAACACCGGAAATGCACACAAATATACAGATCAAATTTCTGATCGAAATGCGGGAAACAAATCTCAGTAACGAGAAAATCTTCTTAAGTTCAGATTCACGCATTTTCTTGGAACAAAATTGAAAAAAAGAAATATTGAGGTCTAGCGCTTCGGTAAATTCCCTCTCAGTTGTTGACTGCGCTTTTCGAGCACACTGCCTTTTCTGCATGGATGCGTAAACAACGCCGCTATCATTACGTCAAAGATTATTGCAGCAGTTAGGGTTCAAGGTACACGCGGGAACCTTTCATTTTTTTTTCCTTTTGTTTGATCTGCCCGGTCGTTCTGACAGCTCATTTCTGGAATAAGTTCCATCTCAAATATCATGCGCGTACCAGATGCCTCCTTCATGCTCCATCTTCTTGCTGCTACGGTTCTATTGGTCGACGTCTTGACAGCGCTGTCCAATTCGACTCAAACTCCGCAGAACAAAGTACGGGATGCAAATAACCGTCGGCTAAGGGCCCAAGATTCACGGGCACAAAAAAAAGTGATTGGTGACGAAGAGAGGGTGCCACCTCAAAGACTTCAGTCTAACCCACGACAGCTTATCCTTCATAACAATTGAAAAAAATGCCGCGTTGTCAAGTTTCCCCGATCTCCGTGAAACTATTGCTCGAGTGCTACCCGTACAATCCCGGGATATCGCTGAGTATTCCCAGTTCTTGGAACTAATGGAAGAAGAATTAGGAAAGGTAGACAGGGACCAGTTACAAAAACTTTGGATGAAATTAAAAGCTAATGAGGTTTCGGTGCGACAAAAGAATCAACCAAACAGGCCGCCCACAATCAGTATTGACAAGACGAGCCCCTATGTTCGCTCAGCCCTCTCCATCGCTCAAAAGCTTACAAATTCCAAGGAGAAGTCGGTCGATTTTCATCTCGAGGGTTTGATTCGATATGGGTTTACACGCGATGAAGTGGAAGTGATTTTGCGTACAGCTGAGTTCGGAGACCATGATGTGCTACTCAATTTGGCTTCTTACGACAAGATCATGCATGAAATGACGATAGAGGATGTTCTGACTGTTTTCACCCTATTCTTGGAAACCCCATCTCTTCCCACCAGCTTTCGTGTCTTACTAGACTACCGTGCTGCCAATATTATTGTAAGCAGAGCAAAAATTAGGGCGTCACTTTTCCCCGTTGGTTCAGTGAACCCAAACTCGATCAAACTCGACTGGGAGTGTCTTCTGGAGAAGTGGATCAATCACTCCTACACCCGGGACCACGTGCGATTAATCCTTCGAAATGTGGACATAGATGCGGAAGAACTGCAGGAAGTTTTAAAAATTTACGACAAACTCGATCGCATGCGACTAAACCTCAATGAAGCGCCCGAAAACAAGGCGCTGGACAACTCAAATGCTATCATTGAGGACGAAATCAAAAAAGCTCGAGACATTCATGATCAGGCTTCTGTCGATTCAAAAGAGGCCGCAGGTAAGTGGATTAAGCTCTTCAAGCGCTGGATTTTTCTCGATTTTTCTCGTGAGCAGATACAATTAATCTTTCATCGTGTTTTTCTCAATGAAGAAGAAGTATCGAAGTATATGACCTATATCGACAAGATCGTTGGGAGGGATCCTGGGCATTCTTCGCCTCATGAAAATGTCAAGTAGATCTGGAAGCGTAGTTTTGTAGTGCTACATGAGGCTTAGATTTCAGAAAATTTCAGTCTATTGTTAAAAATATAATGCTAGAAAGCTAAACGACAAGAGGATCAGTTTTTTGCACTAACCACTCTTCTGCCATGACAATTGAAAAGGGAAAGATGTAGACATGTAAGCTTAGCTACGCCCCTGCTTCCAATTTATATGGATACAGACCAGAATGTACATCATCACGGCAAGGCAATTTTATACAGATATGGCAACGTTTTGGATAGGATCAAAATCATATTTTTTCACTCTGGGTGTTACCATCAAATCAACAGACCGTGACCGCTTCTGGGCACAGACCCGTCGTGATACTATCCTATAAGGCTGGCTAGGCACCCCTCAGTGGGTCCTAAAACCCGTGTAATTAAGCTTGGTTTTCTTGGGGGGATGTGAACGCTTCAATCATGAAAGTGTTGCTAGCAACTGGACTATTCTGAGTTCGTTTTCAGACGGACAAACGGAAAACTTATGCATGTTAAATAGACATTCGGCTGCAATATCGCTTTATAACTGTATCGAGCGGCTTCACCTCAACACTGTTCGCCTGGAGGTGTTCACAAGCTACGAGAACGCCCCCGCGATACAGCTTCAAAAAAGTCAAAATCAAACAATGGTATTGATGCCTGCGGAGCTCGATATGGATATTTAGCTTTTGAAAATCGTCAAGCCCTTATTTAACTGCCACCAGACGAGCATCCATTTGAGTGAAGGCCATGTGTAGGTCACTATCTTTGATTCTGCTCCAAGCTGAGCGGCGGCACGTCGTGCTAGCGATCGTAGAATAAGCTCGCCAGTTCCGGAACGGGTACCGATGTGTAATATATAATGATACTTGGTGTTCCGATATAATAGATTCTTTGGCGGCAAATGTTGCAATACTCGTTCTACCTGAAAAGGCTTTCATGTGTAGTTAAATTTAACCACTAGTCAAGGGGAAAAGAGTTGGCAGATGTGCTCCAAGTGTTGAGAGCTCTCATACCGGTATGTTGTCTGACTCATTTACCGAGTTATTAGCGGCTGTAAGATTCATGTACGACCTGGAGAGCATCTTTTAAGCTACAAAGTTCAATTACAACTCGGCTACTACGGCGCACAAGATACTGTAGATTTCAATTTAAATGTTCAAAACAAATATTCTCATTACTGGAAAGCACCACCATGATGCACGAAGGTGATACACCTATTTGAAATTTAGACATCTAAGCCCTCTGTGTCTCCTCTTTATTTGTTTGATAGATATAAAGGTTGAGATGCTAGAAAGAACCAGCCGATAGACCTTTTAGGGAAAATGTCGAGTCTATAGGTCATCCTGTGCTTTCTTGAAGATACTTGAGTGCTCTTGAGCCTCGGATGGATTAAGGGAATTTTGCCACAACACTGAAGCGACGGTCGTTTTTTAAGAACTGGGTACTTATAGCTGACCAATAAATTTTACGTACTGGGCCCTTTGAAGCATTAAATGGCGTTGATAGGGAGCGTCGTGCAACAATGTGTAATGCACTACCGAATACAGTAAAAATATGAGATGGATCTCTTCGACCACAGACACCTATGTCTCGTGACGATGACAATACTTAAAGTGAGCCTTAAAAGAAGGTAAAGCATGAAATTGATCTCGTAGTAGGTATGTTTTGTGAGCCGCATAATTTTTGTGTCTTACTTATTGTACACCCTTTATATTTAGATATCCCTCTCATTTCTGTTGTATCAGAAATGACAATACTTATCGGGTTAGGGAGGTTAAAGCCTAATGGATGTAATAATAAATGTCACTTTACCTTTCCGCTTCTTTACGTGAGTCAACGGCCCGCTAGAAGCAAGCAACACGCGACAAAGTGTGTTTGCTCAAAAAAATATGTGTACACGGACGGGCGATTCTCGTTGTCCGAGTACAATCGCAGTTTAGGTATGATCGGGCTGGTATGCCTTAAGCCATGGATTGACTGAAAATCGAAGAGGCTAGATGCTGAGTAAAAGCAATTTTGGCGCGTACATTCATCTGCGGTACTTGGTGCAGGAGAAAATATTCTTCCAAAAGAATCGCGGAGATACTGCTAGTAGCCTTGGAAATGCTCGCAAGGCAAATACGGCTGTGAGCTACCGCTTCCAGTAATACATCCACAGGGCTCTATGGATATAAGAAACCAACGCCGGGGTAGACAGACAAAGCCAGCTTTGAGCAAAGCTTTCCAAACGTTTTCTCGTCTTGAAGAAAGAAGTTGTCAGTATGTCACAATCCCCAGATTTTAACCATGTTTAAAATGAACCGGAGTAGTGGTCATCCAGGATGCATTCGTGAGTCACAAGCTGATAAACAAGCTCCAATGTCTTATCAAATCACTCATTTTTGCCGTGGCAAGAAGGTACAAATGTGTCGGCATCATGCCTTCCGTGCAAACAGAATCTCGCAGGTTTGTGGCAATAACATGGTTCTCTCATGAGTCAAGTGAGCTTATAGAATGCTGATGTCTATTCTATTTACTGGACACAAACGCGTATCAAACCGGATATAATATCACTCAGGGGTGTATGAATAGAATTGCAATACTATAACATCACCAATGTGACACTGATAGTATCCAAGATGGAGCTGGGCTTTTGATCCGTGATCAATTATTCTGTCATTTGAGAGACTATAAGACATATTAATGCAAGGAGCGGATAAGATATATTTGAGGATTCTACGTATTTTTAAGACTAAGTTTACGGAATACTGCGACATGGTCACAAGAGATATATCACAAGTATTGTCGATGCTCTTTAAGAATTGACATGACTCCTAGAGCCAAACATGGCGTAACACGTCAATGGACTCTAGAAAAGGCACGTTTTATACTATGTAATTTGTGGATATACTAAGAAGAATAAAAATGAGACAGCGACAGAGAAAGCATATATCCTACCACCGTATCAGTCTTCATGAGTATCGCTTGCGATTGGTGCAGTAGCATTTAAATACCTCCTTGAGAACTGAACTATTGATATTGCATATAGGTGTGTTGGCTAACGTTTTCAAAAATTGAGTAAAAATGCGCATCGTACTCAAATCACGATAATAAGCTGATATCCAATAAGAGCGTCGGCAGGTGGTTGACTATGCGATGTCAACACACGTTGCGGTGTCAAGGCGAAACCCATCCACTCTAGCTCCAGCTATACACAGCTCTGTTCGTGTCTTGAAATACAATCAGCAAACACATGTAAAACTCGCCACACGGTAAATCCCCAAACCCTAGCGATAAGCTGGCAGCTTTACCATCTTCAAGTATGCTAGGGGTCGTGGGTGCGCCATATCGTAAGGGACAACCGCGACACGAAACCTTGTTGATGATAGAAATCAACCTCCTTAAATTTTTGTATAAGTTTCCATTTCCCCTCAACAGATACTGGCAACAGACGTGGTGCAACTCAACGTCAAGGTGAAAGTGGAACACCTCTCGATCATATAGCAGTGCCAGTGGAGGTTATCCCTCCCGCGACTGGCTTTCGTGAGCTCCGGCGGCACGTTGATTCTCTAAACGATTCTCAGCATGCATTGCAAACTAAGCAGAGGGTAGTTCCGCTACAGGTGACGGTAAAGAATCTGCACCTTTTAAACAGACCAATTTAGATACGACTGGCTCTGTAGAGCAGAAAAATGGCTTGGATTCAGCAAAACCAACAGAACACAGTATGTGTTCAATTTTTTATGAGATGTTAAGAGTATAGCATAGTCCCTGTTGACCGCAGACACTGCAACTATAGGTACCTTGACTACAACCAATTGCAAGTAGATTATGATATTTTTATAAGCACCTTGTTCTACTACTTAACCGTCCTGACCTCCAGTCATAGTCACACGAACGCTTGTACACGACGCTCAACCTCACAAGATTCAGTTACAGATTATGCTATAAATTGTAGTCGCGTAGATATCAGCGGGTCGGATTGAAACGACAGACATTCCACCGCTTACACCGGCGCCAAATTTGGGCGGTGGCACAAATATACCAATGAATTTACAAAATTGGGATAGTGCCGGTAGAGGCATGCATTGCACAATGCACCGCAAAATCAATGCGTATAAGGGAATCGCTTCAGCACCGCGGTCTCTTCTCGCAATAGTCAATCTATAACCTCAGCGCGACAGCTCACGCTTTCTGTCTGACTATTTGTTTGCGGATGGTCAGTGGTTGGCTTTCAAATTATATACTAAGCACCTTAGACAATGTTCACCAAAACTTTCTCTGTTCAGCGCAAATCTTTATTCAATACAATGTATATCAAAGACCATATTGGCAAAAAATTGTCTGAAAGCAGAATGGCTGTCTTTTAATCGGTTATCGTATTATTGACAACAACAAGATGCGCCTTCTAGCTCAAACGGTCTACAGAGTCCAAATTGCTGAAATTGTCAAATGGCATATCTTGAGAACTAAAACGACTATACTACTGACGACCAACAGCGGAAGAATGGCCAAAAGCCACTGTATGCGGCGATGGTCTTACACATTGACTCGTCTCAAACGTGCGTACATTTGTGCTTACCCTTTTATATATACCCATCGACAATTCACAGTGCTTACTGAGCAGTATATCTCTTAATTTTTTATGGGTTGGCCATTCATGGAGACGTCATGCATATTGCTCAGTATTCTGTGCTTGTGGGCCTTGTCATGAGGTACTAAATTTTGCCGATGGTCGTGTGAGTTGGTGCTGCAATTCTGCAAACCATATTACACATGAGCGGAGTAGAAGTGCAGAAATGTTTCGATAAAACGGTATCAGAGCCCAAAATCACTCTGCTTCCCACAGCTTTCAGCAACAAAACACATGCTTCGTTTTAGACGTGAGCTGTACGTATCAACCTATCAATATCGGCGTGACATTTGTACACGAGAGCACTCGAAAGCCCATGGCTACCACATGAAGTCAACCCAACTTATACCTTAACTCAAAGGTAAACTTGGCAAAAATAAAGCCATTCTACCGCTTTCTGCGAGCGACTTGGAGTTAAATTTACTGTGCGCAACTACGCATGACTGTTACATATCACAAATGGCTGATCGTCAAGCAGATACACATTGAGCTCGACAAGAGAAAGTAGCTCCTGGTCGTGAATCAAAAAGGTCTAAGAGTTCTTCGTTGAAGGTGTTTGCTGATGAGAATAAACAACACACCTTTCAGATCAAAAAGCCTATAGAAAAAACGGAAACGTTACGGACAACCTGAAATGGACGGTCTGGATTTGCAAGAGCCAGAATCGGACCTAGCACGCGGCTTTCTTTCACACCTATGTGGCCGCCTTCTCAATCGCATTCCACCACTAATTCAAAATATTCTTAATGAAATTGGTAAACGATCGTGTCACGTCAGCATAGTAAGCATTACACTTGAGCAAGTAATTACATCCCCCTCGGGGCCATTCGGGACAGAGGAAGGGGCCAATTTACAAAGGCCATTATCTTAGCGGGATTTGGTTCCGAGTTCTGTCACTTAATGATACAGCCTAGAGCTAGGATCTCGCTGGCACTTGAATCGCTTGTTTATCTCGACAAATGGCATATTCAAGTGCATACACTCGAGTACTGCTCGCAAATGTTCCATAATATCCCCACATTCGTCTTTCCGTGCTTTTCACGATTTTAAACGAATATATCAGCAAAAAAGGTGTCTTTTGGATTGAATAGCTACGCAACAAAACAAATAAATTTCGCTTGTTCATTTGACAGAGTCTTTGTGGCATAATCAGCAGATCCTTCAGCAAACTACTCGGGGTATTTACTGCAGTGAGTGGGGCATATCTCTCATTACCAGTTGAAACATCCAGCAGGCTTAAGTACACAAAAAAACGTGCAGCCAATCTTTCTATTCTTTAGCACATCCACTTTGAAATCGGTTTATGCGGAGAAATCGTGGCTGCACTAAGCACATTTTATGCATGCACAGTCAATATCAATCGCCTTTCGGACATAAGAAGTCGGCTTTGAGGGCCAACATTGACTTCTTCTCACTTAAGCCTCTTTGTGCTTCGTGCAAACGAAAGTCGAAATGACGTCACGTTGTTCATTTGGTAACGGTCATTGCCGTATCCAACATTTGATTCCGGGGACCAAGTCAAATTTATGAAGCAATTTCGTTTCCGTAGGTTAAAAGGGCGGTGGACTTTTCGTCATCACTACTGATTATAAATGATGGAAAGGATCCATTGGTCTTTGAAAGTAGCTATTCCATCTCTTGTACCTAGAACTCTGCGAGTATCATTGATCATAAATTCGTTCATGATGAAAGCTGAGCTCCGATCTTACTCCGATAAAAATCCTACCATCGCAATGCCCTCACCGTCCTGCGCTTCTATGTATATCACCGCGATACAATTTCCCAGCTATTCAACATCTTTTGTTAGGTTATCATGGGAGGCTGACAACCCCTGGAACTACCACGCTCACTCCGTGTACTTCCACTAATTTGCAAAAAAGAATCGTCACTCGGTAGTGTTGACTCGGCAGAACCGTTTTATTGCGACAAGGATGAGTCATCCGACTTAGCTTCAGGGTCTGGGTCTTCTACGCGCGACTTGCAGTCGCTCTAAAGTTACCAGACTCTAGCACGAGAAACCTGCGACACTTATTCGCTTTCAATTTCAAATGGCCCTGGAACAGAATACAACAACCCATAAAGCTTCCTTTAAGTTTTACTTTCTGGAGACGACGACGAGTAGTGGCCGCTCTCATCTCACTAGATGTACACATTGTGATCCCATTAGTCGATCGATTCTTCTCGTTTAATTATGAGACTGCAGCCGACTGCTGCGAACAGTGCTCGAAGCACCGAAAGAATACTAATACTATCGATTTTATATAGCCCCATATTTTGCACGTGAGACATCAAAGCTTCTCAAAGATGCCAAAAAGTGTTTCAGCTATTTGTAAGGATGGGTAATGACACAACGACGATACAACACGAGATAGGCTTTGACCCCGTACTATTTCGACCTTTGGGTGTTCATGGATCTTGGCGTTCAAGCCACACCATACCTAGAATTAGATCATTTTTTTGAATCAAAAGGAGGACGGCACTGCGCCCCACACTGTCAATCCCCCAAACTTTTCTTAAAAGCCTTCAAAATTATTCTCTGATCCATTTAAGTCACAAGATACTCTCCATATTCAGCATCCGCAATGCCCCCAGGTCCTGTCGGCTATTTTCATTTATTCAGTATTAATATTTGAGTCACTTGTAATTGCATGACGAGAAATCTACGACCTAAAAAATCTCGAGATGTTGTTGCTAGCAGGGACAACTCTGGGCTGTGCGTCTCACATCCCTCAGAAAGTCTCGCTTCTTCCATGTATTTTACGAGGACCTCCACGAAATATAGTTGGGCCTATTATTTTAGTGGGCCGTGTGTGTGCGTGCGCATTACTTCCACTTGGATTCAGCGATTCTTTACAAAGGGCTCGTCAGACGACCATGAGTAGAAGATCGACCCGTTGTACATCTCAATCAGACTGAAGAAGACATACAAAAAGATAATTTTGTACTACCATAGATTGAACACCCGCTGGTCTTGCGGAGCTGATAAGCAGCATAGAAAGTCGTCTCTTCCTTCTCAGCATTTCTAAGTCTATTAAAGCTAGCGCACCCTAGAACTTCCACATTCAAAGCGCATCCACCACTTGCGACTCGAATATTGTACAATATATTTGATATGACACTCGCTGCTTTCTCGAAAGAGGAAGGAGGGATACTTACGGTCTTGGTGCGAGCCGCACCGATTTATAACCCGTCCATGAAGGCGAAAACTGTTGCCGTCAGTACTTGAGAGTCAGCTACTATTGCGGTTATAAGATTTTGGAATCCCTGGCCATAGTGCGCCCGTCCTCACCTACCTCAACAGCCTGACAAACCGTTTGTTGCACTCTTTTTTAGGACTTGTTAGGCGGTGCAAATAGGTCGCTTCAAACCTTTTCATGCTGAAAACGCCTCTTTCACATATGTACCGCAAGTTGGTGCCCATTCTCGCTTGCGACCTTCTTGCTTTAAGATCAATAGCGGATCGCGCTTTTGCTCTGTTTGCATTCATATTCATCTCGACTTTCCTTGTCCTAACTAGGAAGTTTGTTTGTCCCATTCTCGAGAGGAAAAACGCTTCAATACAGCGGTTATGCATTTGTTTTTTATCAGAGGCTGATTGGGGCACTTCTGGATATATCAACAGTGCTTTCTAGAAATTGGGGAGCACCGCATGCGATTTGCATGTGCAGACAAATTTTATTTTGCGCTGACAAAATCCCATCTAGTAAGATTTTGTTGAGGACCGTGGTCTTTGATCAGGTCCGAAAAGTCGGAGTTTATTAAATCGTTCCAGTGTCATTCTCCTGAGGAATTTCCTGAAGTGGTTTAATCTGATACAGAAGCTACATCATAACATTAACTTTGCATATGCTGGTCCAGCCACGACCACCGAACCAAGGCTAAGATAGGCGTCCGTAATCTTACTCTTTTTACCAAATGTATCCCACCAGGACCCCAGGTTGTCATGAGGCCCACTCGTGGGCGTCTCAAGGTCCAAATTCCAGAGTAGGAGTGATAGAGTTGATCGTAAACAAGTCACGTCCAAAGAGACATGTTTCGGTCCATACACATAGAAATGATGCAGAAGCTACAGCACCAAAATTAATGCCCAGACTTCCTTAAAACTCAGCAAATTAATTGCCCATAGTGTAAAGGTCATCTGATTTCCACCCACGGGTACTGTCGTCGTCATTGTTACAAATTTAGACCCAGTAGAAGTCTGTTTGGATCACTATTGGCTTATTGCAATATGAATGCGATGTTTAAAGATGTTTTATGTAAGTTCATCTGTGAGTTATATATGCACGCTAAAAGCAAAAATGAATGGGGATAGATACCAATTTGTTTGCTAAAATAAACTGATAAACACTCAGTCTAGTAGAAAGGAAGTCATCGACTTCTTTACGGGTAGTGAGGGGCTGACGTCAGGTAGCCATTCGGCTATTCTTCCCCCACCAAGCTCTGAGCTATGGGATGGCGGCGTAAGAAGGACGCGAGAGTGAACGATTCCAATCACGTAAAATTGCGTAAAGCCGGTTGATGAATGCACTGCATTGTTCAGATCAAACTCTACGAGTGGCAGCATAGCGCTCCACTCCACTGCTTCGGTGTCTCAGCGCAGACGCTGCAAGAAAATCTCCAACAACGATTCACGCGCTCAGTCTAGCCATCGGTCTACGGATGGTCCGCTGTTGACATAGTCAACTTGGTGCCAGCACCCTGGAGATTGTAGACCAAAACGTCACAGTGAATAATCAAAGAGCTCGTGTACCACACCTAAATTGAAGCCATGAAGCACGTCGAATTCTACAATGATGGCAGATTAAAATGCGACGAATCAGCTCAAGAGGTTTTCATCATAATTCATTTCTCGATGAAAGTACTGGTGTGGTTTCGTCGTGACTTGCGTCTTCATGACAACTTGGCGCTCCATGCAGCATAGCTGCACATCACATTAACAATTCACAGGCAATAAAGTATATTATTTTCCAATCAGATTTTAGCATGACTTGTGTGCACGAAAATGTTGTTTATCTTAAAAAAGTGCTCTCGACACAGTGATATTCTTAGCACTCGTACGGTTCGCTTAAATTGAACTTTTAGAGTATGCAAGACAGAGAAATGGGTACAGAGGTCATGCCTGTTGATCAAATGTTAGTTTTATAACATAGAGCGGTGGTGGGCAAAAAGCAAAATATATTTAGGTCCTTGTTCGCGTTTCGGTGCTATCTCATAGCCTGACGTTTCCTGTATTTTTTTGTAAAATGTTAAATTGACTCGAATTTAACTTAATGACGTATGCCGTGTCTTTCACGCTACTGGCTACAACAAACTGGATTTATTCCTGGCGAGTGCTTACCTTCCTTGAACCTCAACGAGCAGCTGCTGTCGAGACGTTGTCTTGCCATAAGTCAAGTTGTAACGGTGCTTTAAGGTGCAAGATCATTGCATGTCGGTATCGTCAAGCTCTATACTGCTTTTAGAAGTTTGGCGTTGAATTTTTTTGATGAGAAAATCTTCTGGCGCTTCTTACCATTTGCAAACATTTTAATTTAATAAATATAAACTACTTGTTGATTGCGCGACTTTTCTTCTATGCATTTGAGCAGTAGTACAATCAAAAGAGATTATTAACTCAATCAGAAACGAGAAGACTGGACACACTCTGGGTTTAAACCTGTATTCAACATACGACGCTGCCGTACTCCCCAATCTATTGCTTCTGAAACCCATACCTCTTGAGTTCGTCAAGCATATCGAGCTAAAAATTTAGAGTCCGCGTACACAGAGGATAGATTATAACCCTGTACGTGCCATGATGACATTTGCAACAAAATTGCCGGGATCTTTGCACAGAAGAGGCTTTGACTCTCATGGTCCGTATTAACAAATACTCGGAGTTTGGGATCGTGCACTCCAAACAGGAGCGAAATTGACAGCTGCTTCGAAAACTAACACTATTAGTTTGTTCTGCTTTTAAGAGATTAAATGTGTTTAAAATCGAAATGGATACCAAATATATGTGCTTAACAAATAACTTTCTTCTTCTTATAGATCGGAATATTCATTAATATCAATATTCCAGTGCTTACAAGTACATGAGATGTAATGTGAATTTCGTACACAGGTGCTGACCATCTTGTAACTAATACAAATGTACCATCACGAAGATAGATACGTTGGAGGAATCTCTGAAAATATTTGCATAGTCGTGTTTAACTTGATTGTCGCATTTGATTACACATATTACCGTCAATGAGTTTACTTGGCTAGATTTTACTCGGGTGAGACGCCACTTTACGTTGCTTAAGCTCGTATGACTTTTCGCATCATACTTGACATCATGTGAGTCCAATTCAGGGGTCACGAAACCCATAGATACGTTGCAAAGTCCGTGAGTAAGACATTTTTTTATTTGCTGTTTTTTGTTGCTCAGCTACCCTGCTAGCACTTTCTCCATCGTACGGCTTTGTGGGCGTTTGCGGAGGCGCAGTAAACTAACCCAGGTATCCGCAGCATAGGAGCTATTGTTGCCATATGACTTACATATTTTGCTGTGGGATCTGATATGGGTCGCGTACCCGTTATAACAATTTTTTATCTGTAAGGTAACTACAGTGGATGACAATCCGCTACCTCCAAGAGTAACCAATACCTAAACTCAAGGCAAATGCACTCTTCCGTTTAAATTTTTGAAATTGAGACTGTATTTATCTCTTTAATTGCGGCAGTGCTGCCTATATTTATTGCCCTTGGTTTTCCTACTTCAATACTCAAAGCTCATAAATATGCATAATTACTGTCAGTTCCACCACATAGTGGCGTCTTGTTACGATGTAGCCACACCTTTGTGTTATTACACCGACTTGCGAAAACTACACCTTTGTACGGTCAACCGTCTTGTGTGACCCACCCCTGTATACCAGGGTATGTGTAACCCCGTTACCCTCGCACTAAAAGGTCTCGATTACGTCACACTACAGCCTTGGTAAGAGCCATTGTCCCATAACAAAACATCAATTTCATGAGCTCAGTATAGTTCTGGGTACACTCCTTGTACCGAAGGCAAGTCCATTATGAGTCTTTGACACTATGGTGTAGTTTTAAGTCGACAAAGAATCTTAAGGACAGATACGAATGCTATAATACCCATCTTTCTCGGCGCACTCAGTATTTTGAGACTGTTTTTATTAATGGGCACATTCATAATAAATGATTTTGATTTTCTCCGGTTCCAATCGCACCGTTTCGGTGATTATGCGATCATGTGATACCTTAAAACATCTCCTTGCAAAAATTTGAAATCTGGATGAGATCCTCCATCAGCTGTTGTATAAGAAGCCTTACGGCCCCTTGAATCATCGCTCCGACTCACACAACGAACGAATACCGAACATGTTCAATGCCTTCAGTCACTGTCTACTTTTTTATATTTTCGCGTCGTATATAATTGCATGGCGCTCCCGATATTGTCAAACAACAAACTGGGCTGTTTGGCCCACTTTTCTTACCGAGAGTCGGTCCTGTAAGACAGGATATCATTGATCTCGACCTTTACGGGGTACAATAGAATCCACTTTTCCCCCAGTCGGATGCTGTGCGCTTTATGATTCTCGAGGTTCTTAACGAGAAGTTTGTCGTCTGTCCTTGTGTGGGAGTTCGACCCTCCGTATCATCAATTAGACGTACGAGAACAGAGCACAGGGCACACATGATTGATATTGCCACAAATATAATGCTTGCAAATACACCGTGCTGTTTGGCAGCTAAAAATACTCTTTTCCTCTCGGCATGTTTGGGGTTTATCGCGTCTCTGCACTCGCAAAGCTTTCGCTTCTCGCTCTTCAATCGACCAACGCAGAAATTTGCATTTAATGCAATGGAAAGCCGTACCTCGGAAGTTTATAGAATATCCTACTACATAAGCAGTTTGCAATTTGTAATAATCTACTCATGAAAGGTATTTATTCATGTCGATGTCACGCACTATAGCGATAACTCTCATTACAAAGAAAAGAAGCACGTTCAGCGTTAAGCATTTTTCACCGTTCGAGTTCACACAAATTTTGCTTTAATCGATACTTTAATCCATCTATATTCAAAATGTACGGATTGAGATATTAGATGTGTTCTCTTGTAAGTGTTCTGGCCAGGAATTAACCCAGTGTTATCACAGCAAAGAGGTTTATCAGTTTTTATTATCATGAAGATCCCAAGTAGCACTTATCCCATACTTTAGAAGTAAATGGCAAGGCAAGTCGAGAGAGCTTGCAGTGCGATGGAGCACCAAACGACAAGAGTATCAGATCTCACACGCAATATCCCGTCATTTTGTATGCTTAATGAATTGCTACAGTCTACGAAAATTAAGGACGACGAGGAGGTGCGCGCTTCAACATTTTCTTATTCAATTTACCAACCCTTGCGTCTCGAATTTAGGCCGTGATGGTAACACGTATGTGTGTGGATCCACGGCATGTGGAGGAGTTTGAGCGTTTGCTCCGCATGATTCTTAAAGCGACGCACACTGTGGGTCATGTGTCCACGTGCGTTGTGCGGCCACCACTTGGAGAATGCATGTACACTTCAATTGTGCGTCCAAATGAACGCTTTTATGGTGTAATTTAAACCCTGATATAGATTATTATTAGGTCAAGTATTCTAAACTACAGGCCATACGTCAAATGTATTCATCGACAGTCGAAAGTGACGTGGAGCTTTTCAAATTACTGGCAGCACGTGATTCGCTGTTGTTAGAACCTCCAACGTATCAAATTGAAGCAGGTTTTGGCACATGGATTGAAGCAAATGGTAATACAAAGCCAATGCGAGGCGAAGATGATAATCTTGTGTACCAGAATGTTCCTGGTCCGTGTTGCAATGATTCTTGTGAAAATCCACATGGTTTAAATGTACGTGCATCTTTCGTGATACCAACGAAAGATTTTCAGCTCTTTAGATCGCGTTACCAGCGCAACAACAAAAAAGGAGGTCAGAAAAATTTACGCTGCTTTCCATGCTGTCGAAATGGACGACATATAAGCTCTGGATTCTGTGGCGATTCTATTCGAGTGCATGTGGCTGTCAGTCGTTTAACAAAGTCTGGTGGTGTCAAGATTTGTCCAATACAAACGCTTCGTCCTGCTGTTTTGGCATTTGCGCGGTTCTTGAACCTTGACGGCACTTTTGAGTCGTCTGTCTCTGGACCCAAGATCTTTCCTGGACAGACAATTGACAAGACGGACATATTTGTTTATGTTCGGAACGCGTGGCGCTGCGATGGAGACGTCATCTCAGTCGGCTATTTTTGAGTTTAATGCTGAATGTAAGGCGTGGCACTATGGTTGGACTGCTCCGCGTGGCCAAGGGGTATCTGGTAGTGATGCGCAACACGTACTCGAAGTGCTCTTTATGAAACCCATGGGCTCGTACATGTACTGCCTTGAGCGTCTACGCTCGGACAGTTTTTCTATCTTTTCGAGCCGAAGAGCTAGTCACGCGCCCATCAAGCCTGATACAGAAGCATATGAGAACAATTACACCACTGACTGCAGAATCATGAAGCGAAAGCGCGCTTCTATTATGAAAGCAGAACTCCCCGCGCACTCATTACAGGCTCAAACCTCGAAGCCACCAAAGCTCGCACTACAGGCTCAAATTGTAGATAAACTGGCATCAACAGTCATCCCATCCTCTCTCAATAAAGATCAGACGGATGGAATAGATCGTGACACCGCAAACACGTGTTCAAAAATGATCGACGTGCAACCTTGTAAGATGGAGACAATTTTCGACTCGGTTCCTTTGTCATCTACTACTTCAGAAGACCGAGCAGCGTCAGGCTTTGATTACCGTGACTTCGATTCCTTAATGGAAAGTGATAATGTGGAACACACTCAGCTTTATACTCAGCAAATACGTCATCAACAACAACTTAGCCTCCAATCGCAACAGATGCAGAATTTTCAGCAAAGTCAAGACCTACAGCGGCATCAATGCCAGCAGCACGAGTTACTACGGCACCAACAGCAACTCCTTCAGCAACTCTCTGAGCAAATGATGATCAATCAGCAGCAAGAACTGCAAGATCGTGGAGGACTTGCGAATCATTCGCTATTTCAGGAGGAGAAGCCCGCTCGACGAGTCGTTTCAACGGAGGAAGTGCCATGGTCTGAGCTATACAATCTATTTGATTCGACCCCTGTGTCTCAAATGTATACCAATGATGATCTTGACCAAGACAAGAAGACTTTCCAGGATTATGAAAGAAGTTCAAGCATTTCTCCAATTGCAAATTTAGGAATAGATTCGGCTGCCAGCTCAAGAATGGCATCTCTTTCCATTACCCCATCTCAACAGGCAGTTTTGAATTACTTATAACGTACATCACAGATTATCGACTAACAGCTTAATAAACGATATTCGAAGATTTGACGTTCAGTCTTCGGGAGCAGAGAGACAATGTGCTGAATTTCTTGTGGACTTGTGCTACCTAAAACTACAGTAAAACCTGTCTTTGATGATCCCTGTCACGTCATATATCTTGTTATATCGGATACTGAAACGGATCCACAGAATTAGCTTTGTCTGAGTCAGTTTGTTTACGCTTTGAAATTTTGACCAGAAATTGACAGATTTGTACATACGCTTTCAGTTAGCAAGTCGAGAAACACTTAGTATTAGTAGCCAAGCGAAATGAATTCATGCATCTTCAAATAAATTTCTGTTTCACGTTATTTTTCGCTAGTAGGGCTGAGCGTGGCTCTATTATGCCCACCGATGCCACTTGCACGGCTTGCGTGTGTTTCTCCGCGTGACCTGATGCGTCTCTTTCTCAGTCTCACCGCCTGACGACCAAACTGGGCTGGAAGTACACTGGTGTCTGGTATGAGCTTGTGCTCATCTGGAATCTCTATCAGATCAACCGTATCCGTGAAGCTTGTAATCTTGTAGCACTGACCCACCAAGTCTAATATAATATGCAGACGTCTCTGAGCCATCAACGCTGTAAAGATGTGACGACATGGTATCTGCAACTCCATCCACATCTCGCATGAACATCGTGGAGCGGCTGTATCGACCCGACGTTGCGTTAATGGACTGGTCACTCGTGACGCAAAGGTAGCAGTGTCATGGCTAAACACGACCGAGTACTCTTTGGCAGCCTTGATTTGCCCCTGAGCTTCGTCTCAGCTCGCGGAGTGACGTGCGTCCTGCTTCTACCCAGCACTTGCACTGTTGATATCGGTTGTAAGTCTCATCAATCAGAATAAACGGCTTGGAAGCGATAAAAGATCCAGATTGATTCCGGGTGTCGGACAAATATGCTCGACGCTTCACGATCGAAGGAAGTCAGCTGTATGCTGAGGCGCTGAAAGCGCGGTTGAGTGACACCGTCACTGTTCGCTTAGCTCTTGACTTCGATATTGTGGAGCGCTTCTCAATCTTTGACTTGGATCCAAGGTATGACCTTATCCTTGGTATGGCATGTTTGGAACACCATGAGCCCTGGATCGATTGGATGTCGGAGACCTTGGGCATTACGCGCATGTCTCCTGGTAGAGCTTTGAGGAGTCATCAACCCACCTCTGCTAGAAAGCAGAATCCCTATTGGCTCAGGCACTGGACCGGGACGGTCAATGTGCTAGGGATCGGAATAATCGAGTCGTCGAACACCGAAGGTGTACTAAACAAGAAGTCCAAGCGGCTCGTGGGCTGAACGTGGAGTGGCACGTAGCCCACTGGGCACTGCTCAATTATTGGAGCACTTGCTGCATGCCAAGAGTGGCATAGTCGGCCAAGGGCCGAGGCATCGAGGGCGAAGCCCCAGTGATGCATGTGGAGTGGCACGTAATCTACTGAGCACTGCTCACGTAAGCAGTTACTGCATGCCAAGAGTGGTATGGTCGGACAAGTCCCTGGGCAAAGCCTTTCTGATGCGCGTAGAGTGGCATGTTACCCACTGGACGAAGACTGCAAAAATACCATCTCTTCATCGGATGTTGTAAATAACATCAAGGTTCCGATGGAGCAGGGAGTGGGAATACGGACGCGTTTTCCACTGGTCTCGACGAGACGTAAGACCTTTATTTAGAGGAGACGGTGATACCGTATGTTATCTGCAAGACGCAGGATGCCGTCCCTGACCCAGGGTGTGTCTACCGTAGACGATACCCTTGTCAACGGTATGACGAGAGAGGAAGACGGTGACGTCACCCTCGAGGCTATTCCCGCGGTGGATGCTCTTCTTGAGCTGGACGAAATGTCCTTCCAAGGGTTTAACGGTGCCTTGAAGGCAGGCGGTTTAGCCGTGGTGGACATTTTTCGACCGAACGAGGAGATTAACTCGTTATCGCTTCTGGATGAAGCTGTCCTGGAGAGCAACAAGACGGTGCTGAACGCACGAAGCGGATCGTCGATTCTGAAGGATCTCTAGGATCAGTTCTATTCTTTGATAAAGAGATCTTAAGACGTCATCTCCAAAGACCCGCCATCGGTTTTACCTCCAGATCGAGGTGTGCGTCATGAGATCGTTCTGGTTCCAGGAGCCAAATACTGCGTCACACGCCGAAGGCCCCTGCCCAAGCAGCAGTGTGACGTCATTAACGCCTTTTCCGTGCTAAGCACGAGGCAGGTATGAAGTATGAGAGTAAGTATCCCCATTCGACACCCACGTTTTGAATCCGGAAGCCGAACGGCAAGTGACGTATCATTCACGCTTATGTAAGCTCAAAGCTTCCACCATTCTGGCACAGAGGCCGATTCCTAGGAAGGATGTTCTACAGAACAATATGATTGGCTATACAACATACAGCGTACTCGACTTGGTCGATGGCTATTGCCAATTGTTCATGAGAGCGAGTGATATTCCGCTGACAGCGGTGTGTAATCCGAGCGGGATGCTCTGGGTGATGTCCCAAGGGCTGTCAAATGCACCAGCAACATTTAATCGTCATGTGACACAATTGTTCTACCCAAACCGGGCGTATGCACAAAGATACTTGGACGACATCTTCGTACACAGCCGTGCGGGGCACGGGGGGACAGATGAGGAGAACCACATGGTCCATGTGACAAGTACATGCGAACAAATAAGCTGTATGCGAATGCAGATAAGTGCATCTTCGGCGCAGAAAAGTTCCATTTGTTGCGTGCTTTCGAGCGAATCCCGCCAAGTTCAAGGCGATTGTGGACTGGCCTACACCAACTACTTGCACAAGTATAGCGCAAGTCATGCGGAAAATGGAATGGCCATTATCAAATCTCCTCATGAAGGATACGGAATGGTGTTGGAACAACGAGCATCGGGAAGCTTCTGACTGGATCAAAGATATCCTCCTTCATGCACCAATTGCAGCGGGGCTGCCGTAACTTTGCGCTTAGAGGAAGCATAATTCAGGTCACCGACCTTTCGTTCTTTAAAGACCCAGTACGAGTGTATCGGATCGCAATCTGCTACCGTCAAGAGTACTTTGAACCTAAATCAAAGCTAATCAACTATTCGGTTCAAATTCAGAACTGACTTTTGTTTTTTTAACTGCGGCAAAGCCGCCTGAATATAAATGCATAGATTTTTTTAATATGTAAAGTAAAATCTAAATACATGAATAACTACTGGCTATCTAACCCCGTACCGTATTCTTTTTTGGCTGTGGTCACACCATGCCCATCTGCTGTGACACACACCCTGTTACCAGGGTATGTGAAACCCCGTAACACCAATACTGGCGTTGCCAGACGCCGAGGGGTGAGATCAATTAATTGCGTTCGACATCACCAGCTTATGGCTGCGATGAGACTACCCAGTTCATTGCAAGGAATTACTTGCGGTGAGGTATGCACTTGTCATTTTCAGGGTGTGTCTGCTTGGCCCAACGCCGTTTGTAATCTTTATAGATCATGCGTCGCTACGCACTGCGACTCAGTCGCCTCACCTCTCGCAGAGGATGGACAGTTAGCTCTTTTTCTTTGCAGAGTATAATTTCGAGGTGATGTATAAGCCAGGAAATCAGAATGTGCTGATTGATGCGTTGTCACGCAGACCGGATTATGAGCTTGCTCATGTCATGACGGTGACGTCGTCTGTCAAGGATTTGATCCGCGCCAAATACGCGGATGATGGTATGTGTGTTGCGCTGCTACAGGCTCTCGGGAGCAAGAAGTTTGGAAACTCGGACAAGAAGTTGTCTGCGTGATTATGCGCACGGTTTCATCGATATTCGTTGAAAAACGGGCTGCTGAATTATAGCAATGATTTGACGGATACACCACAGATTGTGGTTCCTAACGACGAGAATTTGAAATACCGAATTCTCTATGAGGCCCACGACACCCCACTCAGTGGTCATCTTGATCGTGAAAAGACGTACAGTTCTGTGAGATGATACTACCGGTGGTCTAAGCTGAAGAAAAGGACGAGCACATATGTGCGCACGTGTGAGACGTGTCAAAGGGTGAAACCCATCCGAATGTGGCGGCGCCGCTGACAACATGGACTTTCGGAGTCAATTGTCTCTGACAGAGACGCAAGCTTTACTGGGATGTTTTTGTCGACAATTCAGGGTTCAGGGCACCAAGCTGACTATGTCAACAGCAGATCATCCGCAGACCGATGGTCAAACTGAGCGAGTGAATTGCGTTGCTGAATAAGTTCTTCGCAGCATATGCGCTGAGATGTCACAGCACTAGAGCGCGATGCTGCCACTCGTAGAGTTTGTTATGAACAATGCAGTGTATTCGTGTATTCATTTACCGGCTACACGTCGTTCTTCATGAAAGGCCTTGTCAATGCTCGCGCTCCGCTGACGCCGCCATCCCATGGCTCAAGGCTTGGTGGGGTAGGAAATCCCGAGCGGCTAGTTGATGTCAGCCCCCGCACTATCCGTAAATAAGTCGATGACTTCCTGTCAACCAGACCGAGTGTCCTACGACACGTTCGCGGTGCGATGGCTGAAAACCAGACATGCAGAAAGAATATGCAGATAGAAAAAGCAAAAGAAATGTTAAAAACATTGAGGTCGGATATCTGGTTCTTTTAATGCTTAAAACCTTCTTACACATGCAGTCTCTGCTTTCTTCAAGACGAAGCTCCGTCCACGGGTCTATCGGACCTTTTATGGTCGTGGTTAAGCGAGGTCTTGCGTATGCGCTAAAAATTCCGAGAAGGATGCGCACTTTTGTCCTTCAACGCGCGATGAGCATCGCGAGTCACAGGACGGCGATCGACCAAGTCGTCATCGTCCGCCTCCGACCCTTCTCGATGAGAACGGTGGCGTCCACTATCTCGTGGAACGCTGTGTGGGTCAACGTTGTCAACAGGATTGAACTCAATACCTTGTGAAGTGGAGGGATTAATTAAACTTTGAGAACTTGTGGAAGTT